AACCTGGACACTGAGGTTCCATTTTGGCCTCCTCCCGCCCTGACACTGATGGCTGGCCATGCCCACATAGATCCAGAAGGCCAGGATGGCAGCCATTCACCCTCCTTCAGCGGCTGGCATCTCCCCTGATGTGGCCATATGGCCCCATATGCTCCCTGACGGCTGGACTGCCGAAGCCACCGCCTGAGGACGTCCTCTGCGGAGGCCTTGAGGCCCTGGCCACGCCACCCACCCCTGCCCAGCAGGCCACAGGCCCAGCCAGGAAAACCCCAAGCAGGAACACCCTGCCACCAACTTGTTCTGTGACCTCATTCAAGTCACCACCCCTCCCTGGGCCTCAACCTCTTCCTCTGTCCAATAGCAATGGACCAGCCCTCTACCCCTTCTCTTTGTATCCCTCTTCCAAGGTCACAAACTTCCACCCAAATTCACCTCAGGTCTCCAGGCAAACAAACTCATCCGTTTTACAGACATAGAAACAGAGGTGCGAGGGATCTCAGGGACTTGTTAGAGTGCACACAGTGGGAGGGCCAGTAGTAAGGGCTGCATCCTGTGAGTCCCGGACACCTGCCACCTCCCTATGCCCAGGTGGTGAGAATGGTGATACGCCCGAGGCCCGGCCCTACTCTGGATGGATGGCCTCCATCGCCCCACCCGGCTCCTCCCCCAGGCCAAATCCCTCCATCCTCCTGGGTTCGGAAGCTAGGCCTGGCCCCTGGGCCACCCTCAGAAGGCAGACAAGGGGCCTGTCTCCGCTGTTGCCCTCACCACCAGCCTGGATTCCCACGCAGCCTCAGGACCTCCTCCCTGCCTCTGGCTCTCCAGGCCAAGCCCTCCCACAACCACCAGAGGGAGCGGTTTAAATTGCAAATCTGCTCGCATCCCTCCAGAACTTCCACCCTGCAACCCCTGCATACGGAATCAGCCCACACTTCTCAGCTGGGCACTCAAGATCCTCCTCTGTCTTGTGCCAACCTGCTCTGGGCCTGCTGGGCCCCTGCATGAACTACTCCATTGCAAACATGCTCCACCCATGCCTGGTGCTTCCCACCGCCATGCCTTTGCTAACACTGTGCCATCTGCCTGGAAAGCCCTCCCTTGTTCATGCTCTCCATTCACTCATGTATCCAACATATTCACAGAGCTTCCACCAAGTGCCAGAAACATTTGAGCAGGTCAAAATGCACCAGCCGTCCAGTCCACCTGAAACAACCCACTGCCGACCCCCATCTCACGTCCCTCTGCAAGCTGCCCAGCCCACTCTGCCTCATAGCCAGGGGTGTGGGTGGATACCTGTGTCCCCTTTCAGAGCCCACCCGGGGGGGACCCAGGCTTGTCATCAGAATCCCCAGTACTCAGCCCAGGCCTCAAACCAGGAGATGCCACCAAATGTGGAGCAAGCCCCCACTGTAGGACTCTACGCAATGAGGAGCAAGGCCAAGGCATGGTTCTTGGGAGCAGATGTCTGAGCCCCAGAAGCCTGTGGAGGAGACTCTGGCTGGCCAGAGTGGTCCCCAATTCCCCCCAAAGGAGGCTTGAGTGGTCAGGGGTAACCTTTCCCCCTCAAGTCACCCCAAGGCCCAGCCTACCCAACAACTTATCACTGAATTTGTTAGAATATAATACCTTTCTAATTTAAAACACACCCATGGCAGAGTCAGGGACTGGCTGGAGAGGGAAAGGAGGGACCGCACTGGTCAGGAGGTTTGAGGGGGAGTGGCTCTTCCTAAGGCAGGCAGTGAGTAGGGACCGGGAGCACCTGGCTGGGATTCACACCCCTGATAGCACATACCGAGGGCCAAAGAGGTACCCTGTTCTCTCCTTCCCCATGGTTCGTGACCCCAAATGGCAGGCTCAGCCTGCTGGAGTCCTTTGGTGGGAAGGGGCCAGAAGAGCCAGGCGAGGGACTAAAGTGAGCCTGGATAGCAGGGGTGGGACCAAGCAGGCACCTGGCCATGCTCCAGCCACCTGGGAGTCAACCAGAGCATCAGTCAACACTCAGGAAGGCAAAAGTCCAGAGCTCAGGGAGCCACAGGGAGATGAAGAGGGGGAGAGAGAGACAAGAGAAACAATGGGTAAGAAAGGCCACGGAGAGCAGGTCAGAAAGGGATGAGGAGAGGCAGGGAGAGGCTGCCGGAGCATGAAGCCAGCAAAGAGGCCGAAGGAGCCACCACAGGATGCAATAGCACCCCCAAACCCAGGAGGAGCTTTCATCACTCCTGGGCAACAGCTCTCCCTGCCCCAGAGAGCTCTAAGGACCAAAGTGGCCCTGGGGATCAGGTCAGCATGTGGAGGGCGGGAGAGGGCTCAGAGAAGCCTGACTGGGGCTGAGAGCTATTCTAGCTTCCTGTACCTCAGGTGGGCCACCTGGGGAGGAAGTGGTCCGAATAGCCACCAGACTCCATTTCCCCCCAGTGCACATTTAGACGTCTGTGTGGAACCCATTTCCCTGAGGGTGAGCTCTCTGGCCCAGATGGGGCTGTAGAATGGAGATCTCAGGACAGTGGGAAGGATTCCAGGGCCCATGCAAGAGGACAAGGCCAGGGCCTAGCCTACAGGGCCAAGCTGGGCTGGGGAAACCCCTCTGATCCCCAAAACAATATAGACATCCCAGTGTTGAGGATTACAGGAATCAGGTTTGCAAAGCATGAAGCAGAGCCCAGGTAGACTCTGGCCCCAAATCTAAGAAGCAAAGGTTAATGAAGCTGGGGTCAAGAGGTGCCGAAAGTCAAGCCAGGGAGAACCAGGCTAAGAGTGGCTGTGCCCACCTTCTTGCCCATCTGGGGAGGGTGCTGGTCCCAGCCAGCAGGACAGCTGCCCTGGGAGACTCTCCAGCAGCAAGCAGCCAGTTCCCCACCCCACCTCACAAAAGACCAGGTTAAAGGCTACCTTCCCAGTGGAAAGAGGCTGCCCTGAGACTGGAGTTCTCCTAGCTCCATCTCTGCCTCAAAACCCTCCTCTGTGAAATGGAGTGGCAGTGTGCCCATAGGCCTTGCATTCTCACAAGGTGGCTGATAAGATTCCAGAAGGATAATGAACTGGAAGCAAGGTTTAAGCCTGAAAGCTGGTCAAACAAAATAATACCATCGCCCAGAGAGCCAGGTAGATACTGGTCCAGCATCACACTCCTCCAGCTAACATGTAGGCTGAGCACAAGACTTCTGACCCCCACCGGCTCACACACTGAGTGCCAGGAGAGAGACTGCCGGGGAACCCAGCTGCTTGGGCCCAGAAGCCCAAGCTGGAAGGACGGATTCAAGGAGCAATCAGAGAAGACTTCCTAGAGGAGGAAGAACTGCTCTGGAAGCAAGGAGGATTTGTACAGGGGAAGTCCTGACCTCTGACCCTTCGTTGGGCCTCTCACTGGGGTGGGGGAGGGGGGTACACACGTGGTTCCCCCCTCTCAGGGGCACTATCTGGGGCCACATCTTCTCATCCTATGCTCTGCAGGGGCAGGGTTGCCATTTGGGGAGGGAGCCTAGGAACTTCCCTGAGGCAGCCAGCAACGGGACAGGAGTGTGGAAGGAGGCTCAAGAAGCCGGGTGGGGGGCACAGCACAGGCACAACCCCGATACATAGTAAAGCACACAGGAGCACGGCTCCAAGCAAAGCAGGCATGCGGCCGGGGGGAGGGGGGGGTGCACCAGGCCAGAGACCTAGAGGTTCCCCTTCCAATCCCTGGCCTCTGGGGAGCTCCTGGGGGCCAGGTCTAATGCGATGCCCCTTTCTGGCAGCTCCCTTCTTCCAGCCGCCTGTCCCACGCAGCAGAAGGCGCGGGGACACACACGTACACACAGGCACGTCTCCCACTCCCCACCTCAAGCCCTGTGTCCTCAGCCTGGCTGTAAAGACGACCTTGCGGCCCCGGAGCCTGGAAGCTGTCGCCGCGCGGTCCCGCAGGACCCTGGCGGAGTCACAGGAGTCCAGCGCCGGGAGCGGCTCCAGCGCGGCGCCGCGGGGCCGGACTGGCGTCCCAGAGAGCGGGCGGCTGCGCCGATGGGGTGGTGGAGACGCACCCCTCGACCCGCCGGGCGGCACAGCCCGCGCCCTCGTCCCATTCCTCCCTCGCGTTCTTTCCTCAGGAAGGCAAGGCCGGAATTCCACCATTAAAACGCCTCCATCTCCTCTCCCCCCACACACAAAGTTGCTCCAAGTCGCCGGGGTTCCGGCGGCAGGCGAGGGTTAGGCGGGGCCGCGCAGCGGGCGGGAGCGCGGTCACGGACTGGGGTGCCAAGCGCGCCCCATCCATCTCCGCGCGTGCACGCCCCCCACGGGCGCGCACCCAACACCCCACCCCCACTGCTGCCCCGGAGGCTCCCGCCCAATCAGAAGCTGCGCACGCGGCGCTGCCGGCGGGCAGACACCCCAGCTCCCCGGCCTGCGCCCCCGCGGCCCCGGCCCCGCCGCAGCGTCCCGGCCTGGCCACACTCACCGTCCCGGGCGCGCACTTCGCGCGCCGCTCCGCTCCGGGACCGCATTCCCCGGCTCCACTCTGCTCCGCTCCGGTTCCCGCTCCGACTCTTGCCGCTCCGCAGGGCTCGGCTCCGAGATGGTGGCAACGGCAGCGAGCAAGCCAGGGAGGGCGTGTGCGTGTGTATATGTGTGTGCGCGCGCGCGCGCGGCGTGTGCGTGTGCGCGGGAGAGCCCCGCGCTCCCCTACGCGCCCCACTCCTGCCTCCTGCTCTCCACGCTGCGATGCCAGCAGAATCCCTAACGCGCGCTCCCACCCGCCCGGGCGCTCACACTCGCACACACGCGCGCACCCCCGCGCGCGCACACATCCCCGCCGCCGCACACCCGGCTCCGCACTCCTGGGGCGCTCACAAAGGGCCCCCTTGCCCCGGCCCGCCGGAGCCCCCGGAGAGCGGCCGGCGGGGCCTGTGGGGTGGCCCTGCGTCCCTTTCCTGGCTGGCCGCGCCTCAGGTCCCCCGCCGCTCCCAGAGGGGGCCCCTGGGGCGTCCCCGCTCCCCCACCATGCCCCGCCCGGCCGCCGCCGCGCTCGCAGCCCGAACCCCGGCCGGGGCGCCCAACTCTGGCTTCCGGCGCTCCCACCCGGAGTAGTCGGCCCCCTCCTCCTCGCCTGCGCCGCCGCCCGCGCCGCGTGTTCTCTCGCTCCTTTCTGCCCTCCTTTCCTGTCCCTGCCTCTCCTTTTATCTCCTCTCTTCTCTTCCACCTGCTCCCTGTTCCCTGTCCTCTATCTCTCCCGCTGTCTCTCCGTCTATCTTGCCGCCGCCCTCTCTCGCGCCCCCTCCTCCCCACGGCCCTGCGCTGCCTCTCACATTCTCCGCATTACACTGGGTGCCGCCCGCCTCGCCCGGCCCGGGGTTCGAGAGCTCAGCGGGCGGCGAGGGGACCTGCCGCGCCCCGGCCCCACCGCCACCTCCGCTCTCCGCTCGCTCCGCGGCTCCTGGCTCTGGCCTGGCGGGCGGCGACGTCCCGCGCTAGCCTCGGCTGTCGCTGACAGCTCCCATCTTGCCCGGGCTTAAAGGGATAGCGCACCCGGCTCGACCTGCCCCACCCGGGGGCGCCAAGGAGGGCGGCGTCGCCCCGCCGGAACGGTCCCGGGCTGTGGCGTGACCCCGGGCGGTGCGGGCGGCGCCCCGTCCGCCGCCGTTGATCCCGGCCCTCCCGGGCTGGAGGTGAGTCAAGGAGAAGGGCGGTCGGGAGCTGTCCCGACCGTGCCATCCAAGGGGCGCGCAATGCTTGTTGGTGTCTAAGCCTAGGGGCAGGCCAGGGTGTGGGGCAGTGCGGGTTGGGCGCCGAGACTGCGGGCGCCAGGAGGAGGGATCAGGGAAACAGCTGTCCGGATCTGAGCCCAGGATGAGGGCACCTGTCATGCTGGGAGGACAGGGCTCATAGGATGACCTCCCACTCCTCCTGTGTGACCTTGGACAAATGCCTACCTCTCTCTGGGCTTCAGTTTACCTTTCCTTGGAAGGACATTGGCTTACATCATCTCTGGGGCCATGCCGAACTCTGATATGGTGTTAGATCCTATAGGAGAGGGAGTCCCAAGCCAGGCCCTCAGCACCCGGAATCCCACCCACTCTTTGCCTCTGAGAGCTGGGGCAACAGCGGAGGCTGCACTCCTTGCCACCCCACCCCCACCAGGCCTGGTCTGCCCCCTCCCTCATTCTTTGACCTTTCTCCCCACCCTCATCAGGGGAACAAGGCAAAGTTGAAAGGTACAAGGACCTACCAGGGACAGCACACTACAGTTTACAGAACTCTTTTACATCCAAGATCTCCCTGGACCTTCATGATGCCCCTGGGAAATAAAGTTTAAGTTCACCCCTAAGGCTCCCTGTCAGCCTGATCCTGAACAGGCCCGATGCATGAGCATTTCATCTTCCATGTCCCCCACACCTACTTCCACCCCAGACAGACCCCCGCTCTCCGGCCTCCACAGAGGGATGCATGTTGCCCATTTATTTACTAAGCATCTATTATGTGCCCCATCCTATGCTAGGTACTGGGAACACACAGATGATTTAGACACATTCCTGCCGTTAAAAACATGAAAGAACAGGAGATACGATGGACTTTTGGGGGTGGAGGAAGTCCAGGAAATCTTCTGGAGGAGGTGGCACTGAAGCCAAGTATTGAAAGATGAGTAGGAGTTGGCCAGGCAGAAAGGAACAGAAAGGGCATCCCATGCCAAGAGAAGAGCATTTGCGAAGACATGGTAGTGGGAAATAGGGAAGGATGGGTGTATTTGAGGGAAGAGAAGCTATAAGAGCCTTGAATTGTTGAGTTTCAATTTTGTTCTCGGGCAGCAACAGGGCTGCCACTTAGCGAATCTAGGCAGAAGCTCTCCCCATCTTTCAGCTATCACAGAGGCATGGCTAAGGGCTCCCAAATCCAGGAGCTTTTGAAAGGGGCCTCCTCTCCTCTCCTAGGAAACCCAATCCCAACCTCTGTGCCCAATTTCTGCAGCCAGACGCAGCACAGTCTCCCCCTGCTGACCAGAGCTGGAAGTAGGAGAAGCCCAGGCTTCGCTCTGGCTGTGATGTGAGTCCAGGGAGGGCTAGACTTTGGCACCCTCACCCCCCATCAAGGTACCCTGCACAGACTCCACACTTCGGCGATACCCAGTGCCACTTCCAGCCTGAGTGTCCTCAGTGTCCTGTACAATGGGAATAAAAATACTCAGCCACCAAGGAGGCTGGTGAAGAATTCGTAAAGAATAATCCACACAGGGGCACCTGGGTGGCAGAGTCCATTGAGGGGTTTACTCTTGGTTTCAGCTCAGGTCATGATCTCGGGGTCGTGGGATCGAGCCCTGCGTCAGGCTCCTCGCTCAGTGAGTAGTCTGCTTAAGACTCTTTCACCCTCTTCCCCTCCTCCTCGCTCCCACACTCTCTCTTTCTAAAATAAATAAATAAATCTTAAAAAAAGGGGGGGGCACCTGGCGCCTGGGTGGCTCAGTGGGTTAAGCGTCCGACTCTTGGTTTTGGCTCAGATCATGATCTCGCAGTCATGGAACTGAGCCTCACATCAGGCTCTGTGGCTCAGTTCAGAGTCTGTTTGAGATTTTCTCTCCCTCTCCCTCCTACTCTCTCTCTCTCAAATAAATAAACAAAAGCCTAAAAAAATAAAAAAAAAAAGGATAATGCACAGAAATGACCCAACACACAGTAGACATTCGGAAAATGTCTTTTTCTTTCCCCACACCTGAGCTTGGCTTTATGGCCTATCCCAAAGGCCCTTACTGTTCCTGTTCCCTCCTTTTCCGACCATTTCTCCTCTGCCTTCGTACCAGACTTCCTGGAGGCCTCAGGGGAGATGAGCTCACGGCTGTTGCCTGCTGGCTCAACACACCTCCTGAGGAGTCTTCCCAGGGCCTCCAAGTGGGCCCCAGGGAAGCCAAACAGACAAACAGCCTTTCCCCAGAGTGCCTGACATCCAAGCAGAGCAACAATTCCAGTCCATTTTTCCCACTTCACTGTTCTGGGAGCCACTCAGCCTTTGTGTCTATGCTTGGGAATTTATGCCCCCAGCTTTGCTGTGCAACCTCAGATAATTAGCACACCCTCTCTGAGCCCCACCTTCCTCCCTAAGTATGGGGGCAAGCAGGTGTGTCCCAGAGGGGCACTAAACATAACTCACTTATTTTCCCTCAGCAGCTCCAGGCCTCAGCCCTCTATTCAAGAGTTCTGCACAGAGGCAGGCAGGTACAGAGGTGTCTTTGGGACCCCCTTGTATCCTGCCCTTGTGCTGGTGGCCAGGAGCTATTGCCACTCTGTCTCTCAGCAGGCTTTACAGAGAGGCGAGGCAAGAATAATGAACAGGCCCACTTAGAGGAATCACTCTCTGCTGCCACAGCAACAGCAACTGGCAGCTGGGGGCCAGAGGCTTGGGGCGGGCCAGTGTGGACAGCTCCAGGAAGGGGCTCCTTCACCAGAAGCTGGGGGCTGGCTGCTTCCTGCCACGAGGGCTGGGTCAGTGCCCCTGCAGATGCCGGTCCAAGGCCCCTCTGCTATTTTCAGCTATCTCCGTAGGCCAGTGGGGGAGACCCTGGCAGTGTCCCAGACCCCGTCACCAAGCCAGGTGCTGCCCAGGGCTGGGTGACCCACATGGAGTCCCAGGAGGCAGTGGGCATTTCCTGCCTGCCTTCTTAGCCAACCCCTGTTTTCCAGGGTCAGGCTGAAAAATAAATAGGGTCACTCAAGATTCAGAGAACGGCCCCACCCAGCCAGGCTGTCTCCATGCATCTCACATCCATCTCCCCACCTCCAGTCTTTTCCCACAGATCCCTACCACTTGGTTGACACAATCCATCCACGTCTCAAGTCCTTCCACCCCCAAACAGCTTTCCTCAACTACCCCTGCCTACAGCAAATTCTTGCCTCCTCTTTACTCTTAACCGACGCTGTGTCAGGAGTCTTCATTCACTGGTTGGTCCTCACACTGATCCTGGTTTATTATTTCCATTTCAGAGAAGAAAAAAACCAAGGTTCAGTGTGAAGCTCCAGGATTTTAACTGAGAGCCATTGTTCTTCATTCTTTCCACAAACATGTTTTTTTAATTAAATTTTTTAAATTTGAGAGAGAGAGAGCATGAGCAAGGGGAAGGGCAGAGGGAGAGGGAGAAGCAGACTCCACACTGAGCAGGGAGACTGAGCTGGGGCTCAATCTCAGGACCCCAGGATCATGACCTGAGCCAAAGCAGACACTTAACCAATTGAGCCACCCAGGAGCCCCTCTTTACACAAACATTTATTGAGGGCTTACTCCCCACCAGGCACTGTGTCAGGTGTGGGGAATACATATCAGAGAACTTAGAGTCTAGAGGAAGAAAAAGAGCTCAAACCACCGTGCAAAGAGATGTGGAATTATACCTCAGACAAGTGCTATGAAGTTATGGGGCTGGTGGGTGGAGGGCCAGGCTGGTCTTGGGAATCAGGAAAAGGCAGGAGGTGACATTTGACCAAGCCCCAGAAAGTTGGGTAGATGTTAATTTTTAGGAGTAGGGAGTCCAGAGAGAGGGAACAGCATGTGCAAAGTCCCTGCAGTGGAAGGAAGGAGAGAAAGCCCATGTGGTCAGAGCATGAGAAGAGACAACTGAAGATGGGGCTGCAGGTGATATGCGGCCAGGACCAGAGGTTCTAGTGGGCCCTGTCAGGAGTTGGGAGTTTAGGCTGGTGGCTCTGGCTGGCCCTGGAGATGTGAAGCAGAGGACAGTGCCCCACAGCTCCTCCTACTGCTTCCCAGCCCATCACTCGGCAGCCTGCCCCTAGGGACCAATACTAACCCTTTCTTCTAATGCCCGGACCCTAGCACAAGGTAGGCATGCTGGGGACTCAGACTTGACAGCCAACCTGACAGCACGGTGAGAAGGACAGGAGACCTGGGCTCAGCCTCCACTCAGATACTAGCTAAATAACTCTGGGTGATACCTGCCCTTCCCTGTCCCCCATCATTGTCAAGTAGCGACTGGACTGGTCCTCTCTGCCATCTCTGGTTGATTCTGGTCACACCCTGTAACAAGGGGATGGAAAAGATAAAACAATCAAAATGACCCCACCAGAACCAGATTCCAGGCCCTAAAGCCCCGGGGCCCAAGGATCCAATTCAGCTCTTACAGGCCAATAGGGACTCCCAGACATCTGATGTGGGGAGTGGGTGAGGGTCTGGGAAGCCCCTTGGAATACTCCATTTGGGAAGGGCTGGGGAAGGTAAGCTCAGGAATGGAGGAGGAATGAGAAGCATCGGGCCCCAAGCTGAATTGGATCCTTGGGCCTTTGGTTTTCCCAGCTGTAAAAGGGTATAATTCTTTACTCCTTGTGTCTCCCTAGGTAGGAGGGAAGATAAAGGAAGCTGGAGGCTCCAGCTACTCTGTCAGGGGCACTGACCCCTTGTCAAGCATTCCTCCTGGGAACCTGAGATCATCACCCCTGGGGGACACAGACACACGCAGCAGGAGGGGGGATGTTGGGCGTCCTGTTCCTGAGAGATGGGATTGGAGTTGCAGTTTGGGAGGCCAGTGGGGTAGGAGGAGTTCGGGGACCTGGGATGTGGTGAAGCTATGGCAGGGGGCTGGGGGTAGGGGGGAGGCAGACCTGCCATTTGGCTCCCACTCACAGAGGGTGTGCTCTGTGCCAGGCCCCTGGGGCCCTGTCCTCAGGAGACTCACAGGCCCTGGGCAGACAGGCACTTGAACAGCCACTTCCACAGAGTAAGGCCAAGGTTCCAAGTTATGGAGTAGACACAGGTTGGGGTGGGGGGGTTGGAGGCTGGCAGGGTCATAGAACTGAGAGTCAGGAGCCCCTGGAGCCTGGCCTCAAGGCTCAGAGGTGAGCAGGGAGCCCACTGCCTTCACCTGGGCTGGCATCGGCCTGATCTGGCTCTCCCAAAATGACCATGGAATGGCTGCCCTTGAAGGAGCATAGGAACTCACAGGGGGGGTAGAAGGTGGGGGGCTAGGGAAGGAGGAATGTGGGGGTAGGGTGGAAGGACACAACTGGGTCTGGGTTACCTCTGATTCCTTGGCACCCACCACACCCACCAGCCCAGGCCTGGCCACTGCAGGGGTCCAGGGAGTATGTCCTGGCCACATGGATGGTGTTTGAATGCAAAGAGGGAAAGAGGGAGGACTGTAGAAAAATTAGAAAACACCCACACTGTCGAGGGGGGTACACTGCTAGGAGGTGGCAGGACAGGGGATCAGGCCTGGTCAGCAAGGTCCTTGGATGTCATGTGAGGATGATTGGACTTTGAAGGGTTTTAAGGGGAGGCACACCCTCACACCAGCCTCCCTCGACTGTGTGCAGAGTGCAGGGGACCCCACAGTGCCCTTCCCAGATCCCTGCAGCCTGAGACACTCCTCCCTGCTGCCGGGAGTAGGGAGGTTGGCAGACCACACAAGAGTACCTTCCCCTCAGCTGAAGCGAGAGCCTCCTCCCCCAAGGCTTGCCCTTCCATGGGCAGCTGCATGCAACCACTGGTCAAAGAGGGGTATAGGCCTGACACTCACCCCAACTCAGGTCAACCCCGCAGACAGCTGAGGCCCAGAGATGCCCATGGATCTGTACTGCGAAGGTGCCCCAGTCCTACTTCTCCCTCTGCTCCACTCTGCCTCCCTCACTCCCTCCCCTCCCTGGGTGTTGATCCCAATAAACCACTTGCATGCTCATCTCCCTCCACACACCGGCATTATCATCCTCATTTTACCCAGAAGGAAACCGAGGCTCAGAGATGGTGAGTGACTTGCCCACAGTTGCGCAGTGGTAAGTGGTAGGTCAAGGCCCGGCTGGGGAGGTCAGGGCCCCTGGCCGGCTGGGGATTGGAAGAGAGTCCATCACTGGGGAAGGTCAGTCCAAACCATAGGCCAGTACAAGAACCAGGAGGGACTTAGTCCATCTGTCTCTCTCTTTCCATTTCACAGATGGGGAAACTGAGATTGGAGAAAGGACCAGACGTCCAGCCTCAAAATGTCTGTTGATGATGGCCCCACGAGTATTCCCTAGGGTTCTGCCTCCTGGCCCAGCATGAGTGTTTCCTCTGGACCAGAGTGATGCTGTCTTCCCGCCTGCTCCCCTTTCCAAGCCCAGCACCCGGTCTCAGGCTGGGGGACCCGGTTGGTTTGACCCCTACCCGATTTCCCAAGGTGGGAACGAGGTGCCTGCAGCTCCAAGGCCCATTGCAGAGACCTCTGCAGCCGCCTGAGCTGCCCAGCCCTGGCCTGGAGTCGGGCTCAACTGAACCAGGCGGGCAGGCAGGCATCTGATTGGCACAGCAGAGCAAACAGACGGGAAGGAAATCAATTTGAGTGTTTGATTAATTTTAATTTTTAATTTGCATGGAGAGTAATGCACCCCATTTGACACTGCATCCTCACTGCAAGCTGCTGATGCTCACCATGGCCGCCCCAGCTGCAGCTCGCTGTGCCCGGTGGCTCCCCGCCCTTCTGCCTGGCGAGCCAGCCCCTCAAGCGGCAGACAGGCCTTCTGCGAAGCCAGGACGAAAGGCCCCCCGTCCAGGGACCTGCACCCCTCCTGCCCAGGAGAGAAGTGTCTGGTAAGTGCCCTCCGTGCAAAATGGGCGGGGCCAAAGATGCGCTCCCTCTTAGGAGGAGCCTGGCTGGCAACGTCTGTGCCAAAGTCAGGCGGCTAATGGACTTCTGGGTGTGGTGACAGACCGGTGTGGGGGCCAAGGGGGGATTCTGTGTGTACCTTAGCTGGAAGGTGTTAAGTAGTCCCCCAGGCCACCTGGGTGCAATCCTGTACCTAGAGTCAGATCTGTCTTAAAACTAGAACAGTCCCAGCTCTTGTGTTCTGTGACTTCCAGGGTCAGAGCTCTGTTGTCTCTTTGTTTATCTGGAATTTGACCAAACACACATGGATTGGGGAAAACTGGTCTAAATTGAGAGAGATTAAGTCCATCGCTCCTGGTCCTCCCCTCTCCCCTGACCCGGCCTCATGCCCTGAGAGCATTATCCTATGGGGTTGATTGAGAACAGAGACCACTAGGTAAGGCACACCTGGTTGGAATCTTGGCTCTGTCACAAGCTGTATGACTTTGGGCAAGTCACATCATCTTGCTAAACATGACCTTCAAGGACCCTTCTGACTATTCCCCTATTCCCCTTCAGACCTCACCCTCTCTTGGTATCTATTGAACATAACATTCAGTGGCCTCCTCCAGGAAGCCCTCCCTGATTAAGGCTTCTTTACTCCCCACCACTGCTATTCCCAGCTGCTGGCCCTGCCCTGAACATGTGCCCTCTCTGACCCCTCCTTGGCCCTCAGTAGCTCGACTGTACACTGCACACTCTGCCTGGGGTGGTGTGCTAGAGAGAACATGGCCCTTGATACAGATAGTCCTGGTTCAAATCCAAGCTCACCTCCATGTTGGCTGCTTAGGCCCATCCCTTAAACACCTCAAGTCCAACAGATCCAAGACTGAACTCATGCTTCCTCCCCAAAGCCACGATTGCCTCTTTTTCTTCCCTATCTCAATAAACAACACCCAGGTCAACCAATTGCTCAAGCCAGAGAGTTAGGAACCACTGAAACTCCTCCTCTGCTTCATTCCCCACTTCCTATTCTACCCAAGGTCCTCTGTCCCCACCCTCTACTATATATCCTCTGATAGGGCAGGCAAGGCAGGGAGAGGGATTCTCCACTACGAGACAGGGCTGGAGAGCCTTCAGAGAACAGCCAGTCCTACCCTCCCATTTTACAGATGAGGACACTGAAGCCCAAAGAATGACAAAGACCTGCCGTGAGCCCGATGGTGGGTTGCCCATAGCAGAGCCACACTGAGAAGCCAGGTCTCCTCTGTGGCCAGGTGGGGATCTCAGAAAAGTCATAGTCAAGGCCAGGCCCTGTGATAGTGACAGTAGGGAACCTGAAACCTTTGAAGTCTTGGCCCACTTCCCCCACACCCCAGTCCCAGAGAAGCTGCAGGGGAGGAGTGAGGGGCTGGGCTGTGTTCAAATTCCCAGGCAGAATGAAAAATCCACAAATGAGAGCTCATGACAGTCAGACATCACTTCATGATGACTCCACAGCCAGGCCCCTGGAAGTCCTGCTCGGTCGTGACCACAAGAGCAAAAGGGAAGGAGCCTTGGCCGTGATTGGAGTCAATGGTCATTTTCTGTGTCCCCCTCCTCACCCAACTCACAGTGCCTGAATTCCACCATTGTGCCTAGCTCAACTGCAAATTAATGCATTTCTGATGCTCAGAAGAGCTGGTATGAGGGTGGGAAAGAGGGCATGAAGAGGTCATCTCAGTGAGGGGTTCTGGAGAGGCACTTAGGGTAGACAGGGCTTTTATTGAGCACCTTCTGCATGGTGGGCACTGTGTGAAGTACTTTACAAACTTCCTCCCAGCAGCTTCAAGGCCCCCTCCATGTGACCCAAGCATCACTGAAACCCTTCAGGGCTCAGTTTCCTCTCCTGTAAAATAAAATTAGTAATAATAGCTACTTCTAGAAGCAGTTGGGTGGTTAAATAAGGTGGGTAAAGTGCTTCCTACATTGCTAAACACAAAGTAGATGCTAATTAAAAGCTAATTATAAATGAGACAACTCATATTCTAAGACCTAGAACCCACCCAGCTCACACTTGTCAAATCTGAGCTGTTAATAGGATAAACGTCTCACCATTTGCTGCGGGAATGGGGCAGAGCTGGAGGTGGAGAGTGGTATCTGCCCAGGGCTACAGGACAAAGGAGTCACCTAGAAATCCAGGGCATTTCTGCTAAGGTGAAGCCTGGAGAAGGGGTGAGCCTACAAGGAATGGGCCACCAGGGACCAGCACTCTCTCTTATCCTTTAAAAACCTCTCTCTGAGGTTTGGGCTTGGATGGGCTGACTGCAGAGATCCCCAAGTCTTCCAAGTGGACCAAGCCAGGAAGTCAAGGAGGAGTGAGCACCTCATCCATTAGGAGGGAGAGGGGAGTGGCAGAGACCCAAAATGAAACAGAGACATTAGGAAGACAGCCATGTGACAGCCTCCACCACGCAGGCCTCACAGCACCTGTGCTTGGCCTTTGCTTACATGTTCTTACTTCCTCCCCTGCACAACCATGCCAAGGGATTATCATAGCCAGACAAAGATGAGTCTCTCACAGGCTAATAATGACTTACCCAAGGCCATTGCCTATATGCCCCAAAGCCAAGATTTGAACCTCGGTCTTGCTGTCTCCTCAAGACCATGGTTGGAACCACCATGAAGAAGGAGCAGGGTGGGGGCTGGCACCAGGGCCCAACCTCCCCTCAGGGTGTCCAGAGCCCCTGGCCCAGGGCACTCGGGCCTCCCAGTTCCCAAATCCGTGCTTCCTCAGACACTCCAACAGCTTACAAGCCCAGGAAGCATTTACCTCTTCCAAGTCTGACCCTACAAGCAAGACTGGGGGTACCAGGGCGCCTGGGTGGCTCAGTCAGTTAAGTGTCTCCCTTCGGCTCAGGACCTGGGATCCTAGGATCCTGGATCAAGCCCTGCATCAGGCTCCCTGCTCAGCAGGGATTCTGCTTCTCCCTCTCCCTCTCCCTCTGCCCCTCCCCTTGCACTTGTGCATGGTCTCTCTCTCTCTCTCATAAATAAATAAAATCTTAAAAAAAAAAAAAAACAACTGAGAAGAAGAGCCCATGTAAACCTGGTCATACATCAGAGCTGGGACAGAAATGCTTGGATTTAAAAATAATAACATTTTACTGCACTAACCACATGTCAAACATTGCTTTCAGTGCTGTATATATCATGTTTAATTCTCACAACACCCTATGATGTAGGTGCTTTATCATACCCATTTTACAGATAGGGAAACTGAAGAGTAGAGAAGTTAAGTAATGTGCCCAAATTTGCACAGCCTGGGAGAGGCAGAGCCAAGATTCAGTTTCAAACAGTGAGGTTGCAGAGGCCAAGACTGTAACCATTCACCTCATCGTCCATCCAAACAACCAACTACTGCCCCCAAGCCCAGGTGCCCCCAAACCCAAGGTGGTGTTGGCGGAGGATTCGACATACAACACTCCTATTTTCACACACTTTTTAGAGTGCAGAAAGTGACACCTGTGTCTTTGCAGACTCAGCACAGAGAAGCAAGCTGGACTGTCACTGTTTTTGCTTCTGTTCCAGAGGACACAGTCCCTGGCAGTTGGACCACATGGAAACATGAGGCCACTGACTTACTAAATGACTTGGGTATGTCATGTCCCCAGGGCCCTAGGCCCAGGTCCCATTCATATGATGACTTCCCGGGATGAACCTGTTCTGAAAGGCCCAACGCCTCATTCCACCCACCTCCAGAGAGTTTGGAGCACTCTCCAGGGTCCTGAAATACCTCTCCTGCCTATAGGCAGGATGCCTGCAGACCCCAAAGCTGACTTAGTTCTCTGAACACGTTCTTTAAAACCAGACTGGTAGGTCAACATTTTAGACATGGACTATTACCATAAGCACACATGGGGAGCTATTTCTCAGATTCACCGCCATCACCACCAAGGAGAATCCTTTTGTGACGTTCATGAATTAATGCACCTCTCCCTCTTGCCTGTTGGTGGCTCCGTTCCCATCTGAATTTTCATGTAAAGGGTGTGCCTCACAGAGGTGGGCTGGTCTATAGCCCTGGAATCGGGGTGATTGTGGCAGGAGGTATACAGCCCAGGTGCTCAGTAAATGTCATCAGCTGCCATTATCACTACCATTATCATCATCTTCCCTGGGCAGCCCTGGCCATGTGGGACCCAGACGTGAGGGCACATCTAGAGAGAAGGCAGGGGTTTCCATTGCTGTGCTTGAAAGAAGGCCAGATGGCAGCATTAAGGAGAAGGAGGAGAGAGGCCGTCCTTTCAAAGGCTACTCAGATCTTCTCTCTCCTAAAGTGCCCCCATTGGAGGACCTGGAATATCTCTGCCCTACCTGGGCTTTCAAGTTAAAAACTGGGTAAAGTGTATTTCTCAGTCGTCACACCCACCATCCATAAGTCTTGATGGGGCAACCTCATGAGTTCTCTCCAGGACAGTTGATCATGGGACCAACTGTTCCCTCTATACCCTGCTTCTCTGGGGCCCCCAGACTCTACATTTCAGTTGAAAACCAGGCAGTCAGATTCTAGTGATTGAAGAAGGCAGGGACCCTCCCCATTTGAGGAAGGGGCCCAACTCATGGGGAAAAAGCTGTGACCCCCCTACAAGGGTGGAGGATGGGGAAAGAGAAGGAACTACACCTACCTTTTGCTTCCACCTCCCACATTATCCCAGTTATCCCAGCCTGGAAGGGGCAAGGTCCCAAGGCAGAGGCCCCTTATTCTTATCAGCACATCCAGCCCCGGCCAGCCCCAGGGCACTGTTATGCAGTCTCCTTTGCAGAGCAACTGTGCAGGCTCCACTGCTAGGCCTGGGAACCCTCAACTCCCCCTTTCAGCAAATACTTAAGCCCCTGCTGTGTGCCTGACCTGTGTCAGGAAATCCTCTTACACTTGATCCCATTTGATCCTTATGACAGCCCGTGGGAGTCAGTATTTTACGGGTGAGGAAACTGAGCCCAGAGAGGTTAAGTTATTTCTCCAAGGTCACACAGCTGAGAAGGGGCGGATTAGGAACTCCCTCTTCCAGCCTGATGAGAGCAGCTCTCCTAGCCCTGTCCCAAATGGTTGATTCCACAGAGCTGGCCACAGCACAAACCTTTGCCTGAGTACAAAGGAGCCTCACTGAGGAATTAGGAAGAAAAGGAATGTTTGGCCTAGCTTACACCTGCTCTGGAAGAACCTGCCCAGCTGGCTCCATGGGTCTTGGAAGGACACGCCATGTGGGCAATGGTCAAGGCGATGGAGGAGAAAAAGCTCAACTCCTTCCTTGCTCCCTTCCTGGCAGGAAATCAGGCTCCCAGACCACAGTTGGGGCTGAAGGTGAGGAACAGAGAGGGGATGTGCACTGAGGGGTCCTGGAGGCAGCTGTGCTCCCTTCCCCAACCTGAATACACACCACTCACTTGTCTGGGCCACTGGGGAAGACCCCTTCTGAAATGTCAACCTTTTCTGAAAGGGCCAGGGGTCACCTCACCCAGGGGTCAGGTAATCAGAAATGGGCCTGTTGATTTTTCAAGAGAAACCAAAAGCCAGCTTTTCCTCGGAAACTGCCCATTTTTAAAATATTGGCCACTAGTTCGATTTTTTTCAAAGTACTCCTTGGGCCAAACATTCACCACCTCTGGCTTCTGCCCTTAGATGTTCCTAGTGGCCAAGGCCCCAGTGGATACCAAGGCAGTGTGGGCCCAGCAGTTCACAGGTCAGAGACCCTGCCCATCTTCCCTCATCTGAGCCTCAGGGATTGAAAGTGTCTTTTTACAGATGTAGCAACTGAGGCTCAGAGAGGACAGAGTCCATGGTGAGGCCAGGCCTTGGCCCCAGGCCAGGCTTCCTCCTGCTCCCCCAGGTCAGTGAACTCACTCCTCGGTGTAGCTCAGGAACACAGGCAGGCCCTTTGATGAGAAGAAATCTGGGTTCTACTCAGATGGGCCCAGCCTGAGCACAGAGGAGGACACCAGGCTGCTCAAGGGGACAGGACCAAGAGCTGGGCCAGAGGGGGCACTGGTTTTATTCACCCTTCTATCCTCTCTGGGCCCTTGTGAGTGACATTCCATGTGGGAACAGACCCACAGGACCCAGAAGAAGTAAAACTGGGTGGCATGTGGGCTGCCAGCAGCCCTGGTAGTGGGAACATATGACGGATTGAGTTGGATTTCCTCCATTTGGAGGTGATGCTGGCTCTGCTGTGTGTTAGTCTCATCAATATTTTGTTGCTGTGTTGGATAGTGTGGGACTGGATGGGGATAGGGCTCAGGGGCCTGAGCCCACAGGGAGCTAGAGCCCAGGACCCAAGACCCCAGGCTTCTCATGGTAAGACGGCAGGGAGGTAAGAAAATCCACAAGTCCAATCAAGGAGGCACCAGCCAGTATCCTTTCTTGGCATTTAACACACATATACACGTGTGCTCAAGGCATGTGCATGGAAGCAACAGTACATGCACACGTGGTGTGTATACAGGCAGATAAACAAGCATACATTCTCATACACATCCCCAAGCCTTCGCTCACACAGTGCTCCCCACCTAGGACACTTTCCCTTTCTCTCTGAAGTCCCCATGTCATTTTGGGGGGTTCCCTCCTTTTCCTAGCCTCTGGAGCCCCTCCTTTCCTAGCTCCAGAGGAGCGTCTGGACCATTATTCAGGCCTGGGGGTAAAATACAGATTCCCAGCACTCGGCATGAGCCCTGACGCTCATGTGTGAGAGAAGAAAGGGATCCTAGGACAGGGTGGATCCCAGGGACCAGGACAGTGCCAGACTGGCAGAGGGACAGGGAGGAGTCCCAATACTCCCAGGATGAGACTGCAGAGGTTGCCAGCAGGGGACTGAAGAGGGCATCCCTTCCAAAGAAAAGGACAGCAAAGCTGGGTCTGAAAACCCCTCCTTCGGCGCCCCCTCATGGAAGTTCTCCAGGACTGCCCTGGGCAGGGTGTTCTGAGTTCCAGCAGCCCTGATAGTGGGCAGAATCCACTGGACACTGCACTCAGGAAATCTTAAATCTTCCCACAGCTCCCAACCTCCTGGATCAGCTCCAGACCAAGGACTGGACTTTTAAAACCTAAGCCCTTCTGTGGTGGGGAGGTAGCCTTCAGCTCCTAGCAACGGAGAAACCAGATCAAGTGTGATTGGTCAGTTCCAGCTCAGAGGAGGAAAGGCGTGAACTGATTGGCTGACGATATTTATAAAAAGGAGAACCAGCGACCACGAGGTCCAAGTCCCTGCAAAGGAAGGTGGTAGGGCGTGGCTGAGCTCCATCCCCACAGCTCAGAACTCCACCTGCCGCCCAGGCAGGCCCGAGATGACCACTCCCAGTGGATGTGTCCAGTTTCACCCATCCCAGCAGATCCCAAACTTGGTGTTCCTAGGCATGTGGGCTGGACCCAGTCTGCTCAGGAAGGTAGAACTACTTGCAATAAAGCAAATGTTTTTGGCGCCCAGAGAGTTAAGCCTGGATCAACCAGGACAAACCTGTAAGTATTCCCCAGAGGGTCCCAGAGCCTGTATACCCGGACAAGTTACTGGAAGGTTGCCTGAGAGCTTCCAAGCTGGAGGGGCTCTGGGGATAAAGTCACCTGGTTCCCATTACGCAGCTGAGGAAATTGAGGCCCAGAGGCAGCAAGGAAGCGGAGGGCAGGAGGGATTTGTCCTTGGTCACACAGATTCTTACAAGCAGAGCTGGGACTGGGACCCTATTCTCCTGACACCCGGTCTGCCCCACGCTGTTCCCTCTGCCCCAGACAGGCCTGCAGACCCTTCGTGAGGCCCAGCTCTTATGCAGCAGTGTGCCTTTGCCCGTGTACCTGGAATGCTTTCCTTCCATCTCTACCAGGCAAACCCCCATCCATCCTTCAGTTGTCAACTCAGGGATCGCCCTGTCTAGGAAATTCTCCACCCGTGTGCTCCTGTGGCTTCCTGCATGCCATCTCTCAGAGCTCTGGCCACGCTAGAGCCTCACTGTTCACGTGTCTGTCCCCCCACAAGGCTGTGGCCCCTCAAAGGCAGGGTCAATCTACTCCATCCTCATGTCTTCACCACTCAGGCAGGGTTCAGGGCGCAGCTGGAGGCTGAGAATGAAATGTCTCTTCAATAGAGGAATGAAAGACTTTAATCTCATGGTTTGCTTCCAACATGATTTCTATTTTCCAGGTGCCCAGCCCTGTGCTTGACAGGAGAGAAGGGGAAAGCGGAGGCCCAAGCCCTGCCCTCAAGAGCTCCCAGACTGCAGCTGGGGCAGAAGATGCATTAAGTCAGGGGTTCAGGCATGGTGTGCTCAGGGTTATTACGGCTCGGTTGGAAATCTCAGGGTCGTGGGATCGAGCCCCGCGTCGGGCTCTGCATTCAGCAGGGAGTCTGCTTGAGATTCTCTATCTCCTGCTCCATCTGCCCCTCCCACCACTTTCTTCCTCTCTCTCAAATAAATAAATAAATCTTTTTAAAAAAAAAAAAGAAGAAGAAGAAGAGGGGCGCCTGGGTGGCTCAGCCGTTTAGTGTCTCCTTTAGGTTCAGGTCATGATCCCAGGATCCTGGGATCGAGCCCCATATCGGGTTCCTTGCTCGGCAGGGAAGCCTGCTTCTCCCTCCCCCACTCCCCCTGCTTGTGTTCCCTCTCTCACTGTCTCTCTCTCTCTGTCAAAAAATAAATAAAAATCTAAAAATAAATAAATAAATAAATAAAAATAAATTAAAAAAAGAAGAAGAAGCAGCTATACTGACAGAGGGGACAGATAATGATCAAGACAGACAGAGGACAGACAGGTGATATGAGGGACCCCACTCTATGGTTTTCCTCCTGCTTCTCTGGCTGTATCTCCTGTCCTCTGCCAGCCCCAATCGTGGGGCTCCCAGGGCTCTGTGCTTTGCCTTTTCTCTCCCCACAGCCTGCCCGCACGGGCCAACCCCCCTCTTCCACCTCCACCCCGATGGTGCCCACACCTCTGCTTCAACCTGGCGCACCCAGCTGCCTGAAAACACCTCCACCTGAACGTCCACCATGTCCAGATAACAAAGTGCTCTCCCCCCACCACCTGGTCTACCCTTCTTCCGGGTGCCCATCTTAGTGCCTGCCACCCCTAGCCACCCAGTCACCCAAGCCCGGAGCCTGGAAGCCCCCCTGTCACCTCACTCTCATCACCCCCTCCTTCAACCACTAGATTCTTTCAACTCTAGCTCCTAAATGACCATGAATCCATCCGTTCCTCCCCACCCCTGCTGGGCTCCCCCTACAGTCCAACGGTAGTAGGTGCTGTTGGTGTCCCACCCAGATCCTTTTTACCAGGCCAGTGCGTCTGTCCCCCAGATGCTGTGAGTGCCGGCTGCTAACAACACGGCTGCCCACGGTGAGGGGCATGGCTGGGGGTTACGCCCACAGCCAGTGCTGAGAGACCCAGGCACAAAAGCCCGCTCAGAGCCTCCTGACAACGCTCAGTGCCATCCAGGCGCCACTGGGACAGCAGCTGAGAGCAGACTTCAGTGGACCCCATGACCTTGCCCAGCTTCCTCCCCCTCCTTTCCTGCCCCCCTCACTCCTCTGTGGATATCATTCATTTAACAAACCTCTGGCACTCACACCTCCTTTTCTGGCTGCTTCTCAAGAACCCTAAGACATCATCTCCATGTTGAGCCAGTCAGAGCTACATATCCCACCCCCTTCACCCCCCACCCCAGGGAAAAGCCTGGGGGCCCAAGTGCGGGCCGGGCTGGGGCAGGGGACGCTGGGGGCTCTGAGAACGGAATGCCAGGAATGGATGCAGATCCTCTTTACCCATCTTACCCCGGCTGGCCTGAGGGAGCCAGGCCAGGGCCCACCTGGCCTCCCAGACGCTGTGATTAAGTTTTGTGCCAGAAGGAGAATTGGGAGCTGCTGCTTTCCCTCTTCCCTTTTTTTCTTTTTTTTTTTCCAAAGGCTGAGCCCAAGTTAATCAGATAAATTCCTCGCCAGTCACACCAACAATTTTTCTAAGGTTCAGTCTCCCCAGAGCGACTCATAATTACTCCAGACTGAGACATTAAAGCAAAGGGGAAAGAAGAGACGGAGAAAAGGATGTTTTTAATTAAAAAATTAATTTTTCCAACAGACCCACTGACAGCTGCCCGGCTGTGGTGCTTCGCTACCTGTGAGACAATCCCTCTCCATCCCTTTCTTCCTCATTAAACTTTGAGAAAGGAGCTGGGCCAGGCAAGAGCTGTCCCCTCCCCTCAGCAAAGCTTCCTCTCCCTCCAGCCCGAAGCCTCCAGCTCTCTGGTCTCCTATAAAGCGAGTGGTTGGGTTGCAGGATTCTCAGCGGTACCGGTAGCCACAGAGCAGAGGCTTTGGGGTCAGGCAGACACAGGCGCCTAACCAATCACTGAGGACATGTGCGCCTTGGCCAAGCTCCCTGGCACTTCCCCCCTCCAGTGAGGTCCTCAGGCCAGCAGCATCGACATCACCTGTTAGACCCCAGAATCTTAGACCCCACCCTAGATCACCTGAATCTCAATCTGTGTTTTAATAAGATCCCTGGTGATTCATATGCACCTTACATTTTAAGAAGCACCGTTTTGGTGGCTGAGCCTCAGCCACCTCCTCTGGAAAATCAGGATAATAACAGACTCTGCCTTGCAGCTTAGTTTGCAAAGATTATGAAGATATATAAGAAAACAGTTTGGCAAACAGTAAAGCAGGAACTGCAAAAAAACACTCACTACTTATTACTCTGAGCCGTTCTGTTGTTTGGTGTCAAACCTCACATCGTCAGTCAGGATGGTTCTCTAAATCCGTGCTCTGTGGACCTACCACTAACCCCCTCCACGTGTCTGCAAACCTATAACAGTGACAGAGAAAATTCTTTTTTTTTTAAGATTTTATTTATTTATTTGACAGAAAGAGACACAGTGCAAGAGAGGGAACACAAGCAGGGGCAGAGAGAGAGGGAGAAGCAGGCTTCCCGATGAGCAGGGAGCCCGATGCGGCGCTCGATCCCAGGTCCCTGGGATCATGACCAGAGCCGAAGGCAGATGCTTAACTGACTGAGCCACCCAGGTGCCCCAGAGAAAATTCTTTAAGAAAAAAAAGAACAAGGCATAACCTAGGGAGGACAGAGGAAACTGGCCCAGCAAAGCCACATGCTGGCTTCGGGACTGGATTTGCAAGGCCTACAAAGTCACCGAAGGATAAGAGCCCTGAGCAGAGTATTTTTTTAAAAAAGGATAAAACTAAAACTTTGGGGGCTCTTGGGTGGCTCAGTCGGTTAAGCGTCTGCCTTTGGCTCAGGTCATGATCTCAAGGTCCTGGGATGGAGCCCCAAGTCAGGATTTCTGCTCAGCGGGGAGTCTGCTTCTCCCTCCCCCTCTGTGCTCTCTGTCTCACTCAAATAAATAAATAAATAAATCTTTAAAAGATCCATCAAGAAGAATAGAAGGTAATAAGGATCAAGAGGTTCCAATAAACACTTAATAGGATTTCCAGGAGAGTCAAGGGATAGAAAAGAAGCAACAGTCAAAAATACAAAACCCTGGGCGCCTGGGTGGCTCAGTCATTAAGTGTCTGCCTTGCTCAGGTCATGATCCCAGGGTCCTGGGATCCGCAGGAAGACTGCTTCTCCCTCTGCCTCTGCTGCTCCTCCTCCCTGTGCTCTCTTGCTCTCTCTGTCAAATAAATAAATAAAATCTTAAAAAAAAAAATAGAAAACCAGATTCTTTCCTAAGATGAGAGGAAAGGGTAGATTCTCAGATGAAGGTAAACACTGAGAGTCCAGCCCCTTAAATGCCGTTGCATCACACCCATGCACATGGCGGCACAACCGCAGAACATCAAAGGTGAGGAAAAAACTCAGAGGCTGCCAGAGAGAAGAGGCACCTCACTCACCAAAGAACCGACAGCAAGACCGGCAGATCTCCCCCCGCAAGAAAAGAGGCCAGAAAACCATGGAGCAAATGCCACAAAGCTCTGCGTGAAAAAACACCGAGGGTACAATTCCGTTGGCAGCTAAATAATCCTTTGAGATTAAAACAAAATAAAACCTTTCTCAAACCTAGAAAGACAAGAGAGTTATACCCGAAAGACCTTTACTGAAAGAAGTACTAAGAGATGTGCTTCAGCAAAATGTAAAGTAAACTTAAGGGAGGAATTGGATAAAGAAACAAGAATGAGTGCAGAACATTGGTAAAAAAAATTAAAAAGGGGGAGCAGGGGCGCCTGGCCGGCTCAGTCAGTAGAGCGTGCGACTCTTGATCTTGGGTTGTGAGTTTGAGCCCACGTTGGGTAGGGAGATTACTTAAAATAAAATCTTTTTTAAACATTGAATGTATATAACTGAACTATTGGCCATAAAATAATAATAATAATGACAATAACAACTAAAATTGGGTTTCAAAAAAGCATAAGATTTCAGACAACAATTTTAAAAATTTTTTATTTGTCCAGAAGGACGATAGAGATACTGAATAACCTTGAACCTTCTCAGAAAAACTTATAAGTAAATATGTATATTAAAATGTAAGAGTAGGGATGCATGGCTGACTCGGTCGGTGGAGCATGAGACTCTTGATCTCAGGGCTGTGGGTTTGAGCCCCACGTCAGGTGTAGAGATTATTTTTTAAAAAATCTTTTCAAAAAATAAAATAAAATGTAAGAGTAACCACTGAAGATTATAAATACAATTTAATAGCTTGTGAGATGCAGCTAAAGCAATATTTAGAAGTAAATGTATAGCCTTAAATGAATTTATTAAAATATAGAAAAATTTTAAATACCACATTGAATTATTTAACTCAAAAAGGAAAAAAATGACTGATGGTTGGCAGAGGGGAGGTGAGTGCAGGGGATGGGAGACATAGGTGATGGAAATTTAAGGAGGGCATTTGTCATGAGCACCGGGTGATGTATGGAAGTGTTGAATTACTATATTGTACACCTGAAACTAATAGGACACTGTATGTTAGCTAAATGGAATTTAAATTTTTTTAAAAAGGGAAAAAATGAACACAAGAGTAACCCAAAGAAAGTAGAAGAAAACAATAAAGATGGAAATTATTTATAACAGGAAATGAAAAATAACAGGGAGAGATGATTTCATGGATCAACAGAGAGTCAAATGATTTCACGGATCACATCCGCACTGCAGAGCTGCATCTTTACCTGCCATAAGAACTTTCGTTCTAACTTTGCCTATTTTTGAAAGTTATAACTTGTTTGTGGAGTTTTTTCAGGAGGTTTGATGACAGACTTTAGATTCAGGCCCGAATGTTTTTTGACCATGGGATGGGGGTAGAACCCTGTGCCAAATACTGTTAGGACTCCTACCTCATTTTTAACCTCTCAACACTCAGTGAAGTGGGGAGGGCGGGGCTGTCACCTCGAGCGGGGCCCAGGGGCAGAGACTTGTCCATGGTC